ATGGTTTGTGTCAAGAAGTCTGATGTGATTCTGACAGGCTTTCCTTTGTATGTGATTTGTTTCTTTTCTCTGACTGCTTGTAGAACTTTGTTCTTCTGTTAAGTTTCTGGAATCTTAACAATTATATGCCTATGTGTAGATTTTTTTTGATCAAGGCTATTTGGAGTGCTATATGCCTCATTTATCTGTATGCCAAGTTCTTTTCCCCTGCTTGGGAAGTTTTCTGCCATTACTTCTGTGAAGAGTTTTTTTATGTCATCTGCATTCTCTCCTGTTTCTTGACTCCAGTCAGTGTTATGTTATTCTTCCTTGCACCATCTAGCAGCTGCTGGATTGATTTCTCATGTTCCCTTATAATTTTGAAACAATTTTTCTTTTCCTGGTCACTAATTGCAATCTTATCTTCTATATCTGAAATTCTGTCCTCACATTGGGTCATTCTGCTGTGTAGACTTTCAGTGGAGTTTTTCATGTCCTGGAAATCTATTTGCATCTTTTTTACGGATTCCATTTGTTTCCTATGTTGGGATTCTATCATGTTCCTCAGCTCCTCTCTAGATTTATTAATCATGTCTTACATTAAGAGCACAATTTTTCCTGTCATCTGAGAAATTATTTCTGATTTCATTTTTTCCCTATCCCCTTTTTTTGCCAGTTCAGTGGGTCCAGGTGGTTGAGTATCAGAGTGTTCCTTCTCATTTTCCTTTGGGTTGCTGTAGGTGATCTGGAAGTCTGGTTTTGAGACTTATTTATGTGTTTTCTCATTTTGACTAGGGTGCAGGGGCAGGTGCTCTTGGCATCCTGTGGCTCACCTTCTCTGAGCTGGGAGAGGTGGGTCAGGGGCCAGGAGCAGTGGTAGGAATGGTGGCCCGAAATCCCCATCCTCTGGGCCAGGAGCAGTGGAAGGTTTGGCAGCCCAGAAGCCCCTTCCTCTGGACCAGGAGCAGTGGGTTGGTGGCTTAGAAACCCCTACCTCTGGGCAGGAGTTCTTTAAATGCTGAGAACTTGATTAGCCCCAGTACAGTGGTCTGGTGGTCTGGTGTCCTCTGCATCTTTGTAGTGTGGAACCAGGTGGCTGTACAGAGAAGAGGCCAAAGGAGCAGGGTGGGGTCCAGTGGATTGCTGCTGGGGCACAGGCTGATTCGGTGTTTTCAGGGCAACTGGTGACCTCTGGACCCCGTCCACTGTCATGCCTGTCTGCAGTGGGCTGATTCAGTGTTTTCCATGCGACTGGTGACCTCGGGACCGCATCCGCAGACCTGCTTGTCTGCAGCCAGCTGATTTGGTGTTTTCCGCGCTACTCAAGATGTTTACATTCTTATGTTCATGGTAAGCCTTTGGCTCTCACCATGTGTGTTGTGTACCCAGCATGTCTTGGTTTGTACTAGCCACATTGCTCAGTGCTCTGTTGGCCACATGGAACTCTGGTACTGGAAAACAAAAAGTGAGGGTTTTCCCTCCTTGGAGACTCCTTTCAAAATATGTTGCTTTTGGGTACTTGTGGAACTTCATGTGATAAGTGCAGTATACACTTATGAAAACATTGCCACCATCAAGGCCATGAGTCTCTCACCTTCCAAAGTTTTCTTCCTTATTTATTATTTTTACCAGTATTTTGGTAAGAACAGTTTACATAAGATCTATCTATCCGTTTAGCATTTTTAAGTATACATCACAGTATCATTAGCTACAGGTGCCATGTTGTGTAGTGTGTCTCTAGAACTTGTTTATCTTGCAAAACTGAAACTGTGTGTATTTATCTCCATCCCATTTCCACCACCCTCCAAACTCCTAACAACCACTGCTTCCGTTAATTTGAATATTTCAGAATATAAATGAGATCACACCGTATTTTTCTTCCTGTATTTGGCCTTTTTCCACCTCTGGTTATAGAGCCAGAGGAATTGAAGTCAGTATTTTGAAGAGATTCATTGCAGTGAACACATGGAAACACCTAAATGTCCACAGACAGATGAATAAATAGGTGACACTGACTCTTCTGTTTTACATTTCTCTTGGCATGGTGACATATGATATAGAGTCCAAGTAAGTCTATTAGAAGATTGCCCTAGGAATTTGGGAACTCCTATTAAGTTAATTTGTAGCAAACTGTAAGCCCTAGAAATTAGCCCTTTGGACACACTCATAAAGTAAGCAGTTTTAAAACTGAATTTTGGTGAATAATCTGATTTGTGAGTGAGTAAGGGTTGAATAAATAAATGTCTTAGACCAATTGGGATGCATCTCTGGCTTAGAGAACAGTGGCTGTTTAACTGATTATGTTCAGAAAATGAGGACTGTTCTCCGGAATGTTGGATCCCTGTCCAATTTCTCTGTCTCTGTCCCTGTGTCTTCTTCATATTTCCTCTTAAATTGGTTAAAAACAAATACTATATTTAAATAGAGCAACTTTAAAAATCTATGAAATCACATGTTAAGATGTATGTAATAATGAAGATCTCTGTAATGTCCTGAAATTTGAATCTTTTGAAGACTTTTATCTTGAATATGATCCTGTCCATTCATCAGTCTCTGATTTCAGTACGAACTCATTCAATATGCATTTGAAGTGACTAAAGGGTTTTGAGGAATGATTACTTCAGAAAAATTGGTATTTCAGAAATGCACATTTTCCCTCCATCTCTGTTGGTGTTTGAAGTCTTCAAAGTGTTGCTGTGATCAGAGGAAAACATTTCTTGTGAAATAGTTTTCTCGGTGAACTCAGTGATTTGAGGCTGGCTATTGGTTCACATCCTCTGTTCCAAAGTGTATTTTTCTGTGTGCTTCAGGCCAAAGCCTGGGGCTTGTGGGATATATCGTCAGTTTAGAATGCATAAATATAAAATTAACCTAGCTTTAATAAAATAAACTTCAAAGTCAATAAAAATGGAACAGTTCTAAAAGAATGATTAGAAATTAGGTTTCCTGTCTAATTGTTTGTCAGTGACCCCGTCTGTGTAAAATGAGTGCTAGGAGAGATGGCCTTAAATTTTCTCTTTGAATTAATGGATTAGCAATTGCAGCTAAGTATCTCAGATGCTAAAGGTTTGACTTCAAAGGAAGTTGTATGATTAGAGAGCTAGCATTTATTGAACACTTCCTATGTACTTTGAACTATACTGAATGATTTTCATGAATTTTCTCACTTCTTACACTATCCCTGTGAATATTGTTAATGGCATCTTTGTTTCACACACATGGAAACTGAGGCTTAAAGAGGTGATGTCATTTGTTTCTTTGGGTCTCAGATATAGAGCCAGGACAAAAACTGGCATGGATGTAGAGCCTATGCCTTCACCATCATGTTCCTTTTGAAATAATGTAGGATGCTCTGTCTCTACCCCACAAGTGTGGAAAACTTCAGGGTGAAAGCATATAATAACAAGGAATTCTCATGAAGCCTCACTTCTAGATATTTTCCAGCTGCTGGAACAATAGTTGCTGCCCATATCCCCACTAAGAAGGTCTAGTGAGAAGGCATTTGTAGATTAAAATTTTCATTTGTATCTGACTTGCACTGCTATATAACCAGGATATAGGATTATTAAAAATAAACAGGACAGTCCTAGCTGGGTCAGACTTACCATGCTTAGGGAAATCAATCAATATTTGGAGATGTAGAAAAATAAAAGATTCGAAGTCAGCTTTGTAAACTGGCTTCTAATCTAACAAGCCATTTAATTTTTCCCCAGCTCTTTGTCATGACATCATGTAAGTGGATTGAATTAGAATTTTGTAGCATTCAACTCTTGGAGTCAAAGAGCTTGACTTAGGAAAATGCACATTCTCAATTTTGTTTTCCATTTAGGGGTTTCGTGGCCCACCTAAAGTCTAGACTTTCATTAGAACCCCTAAACTGGTTAACTTATTGCATTTCTTTTTACTTTATGAGGGGCAAAATTCTTTAGTTATGTTGTGTTAAGGTCCTTTGTTATATGGACAGTGAACTTTTGGTGGATTAATGATGTTTAAATCACTTTTGCTGAGTATCCTAGGATATATACAGGACACACGTTGTAGATTTGACTAGAATTTTTTAAGAGGTTGCTGTGGAGTTGGCCAATAAGTAGGTGCCTTAGAATTGACAACCTTCTACTACCAGCTAATTTGGAGATTCTCTTAACCTCCCCGGCCTCAGTTTCTCCCTTTTGTGTAAAGAATGAAGAATGTCTATTTCTTGTGACTGTATAACATTTTAAGGAAATGACAGATGATAATCCATGTAGGTGAATCGACTAATAAATTGGACTGAGTCTGAGGAATGCTCATGACATTTTTTGCCTTTGCTTAAATACTCAAGTCATGTCTGGCGTCCTAAAGTTTCTGAAGAGACTCTGTTTCCTTTGAGAAGTCAGAGAAACTTTAGTGCCAATGGAAAAGTTTTTCAGGACTCTAGAAGGCTCTTCATGTATATATTAATGGGAAGCCACAGGACCTGGAGAGGCAGCCAGAGAAAGGGAGATAAACTTGAAAATTACTATTGCTAAGAGAGTAAGTTGGGCTTAAAGTTTTGGAACATGAGAGATATTCTTTGGGGCTGTGTTCTCTCAAGGGCTGGATGAGTGATAAAGTCTTTAATGAAAGAACTCTTGAATTCATCTAATATAGCTAACGTTTAGTTATATCTAACTATCAGAATATGTTAATTAAAAATATACTTGGCAAGCATTTAAGAATACTTATTCAATTGTTCACTCTTTCTTTTTGTGTTATAGAGGAGCACAGAAAGTGAGATGTATGAATCATTCTCACATTAGCAAATCCCATAGATTTATATGGCTCCTGAAATTGTTGGGATGCCTTGTTCTCTAATTCTCTTGTCTTCTCTTAAAGGGCGTTGTCTGATGTCAGGAAGAATTAAATTTGTTTTTCTCTTTTTGAAGCTAAATTTTAATTTTCTTTCTTATTATTGTAATCTATGCATACATTAAGCCATTTATAAAACTCCAATATTTTTAATATCTATTAAATAATCTATTTTGTTTGGCTTTTATTTTCAGATAGAAGAATTTCGAAGACTGAGGACACACGTTAAAGGGGCAGAACTTGTGGAAGGGTGTGATGGGATCTTGGGAGACAATTTCCGACCCACTCAGCCTCTGAGTGACAGAGTCATTAGAGCTGCATTTCAGTAGCCCCAGAGAGCAGGAACAAGCCCATCTTCGTGGGGTGTGTATATTAAGTAAAGGAAACGAGGTATACAGTTATCTAAATCAAGCATCCCAACGCTACTCTGATGGTCAAACTGCTAATTTCCCAATAAAACAAGTGTGCTTTGTTTTAATAAAGTTTATGACACATTCATAAATCCCACTAATCACAAGTCAGGTGGTTATTATAATTTTATGCAGTGTTTAAAAACATCTGTGGTTCTCATATTTTCCCACCAGAGCACTCTTTAATTCTATTTTGTTTTAATGTTGGATTTCATAAGCAAAGGCACATGAATCAGAGAAATAGGGATGTAAGGACCTCTTTAGTAATTTATCATGTTGCCCCTTCGAGCTGCAGCAGTGACCTTCTGATGATCATGGAACACAAAGAAAGAGGCTAACACAAAGAAGAGTCTGTGAGCCTCCATGTTGAACCTCTTGTCTAATACAGATTTGATTATTTTGTTTACCACAAATGTAGGGCTGATCTGGTATGAATTGAAATACTTGTCCTATGGAAGTGCTTTTTATTTGATGGATGAAGTTGTACTTACTAATTATCAGTATAGGCTGCATTACTTTATTGATTGAAACATAATCTGTAGACTTCAATGTGTTTAATTCAATATATTTAGTCTTTTTCTTCAGGGAATAATGAAATAAAACATTGTAAACATAGAAAAGATCAAATATACAAAGATGACTATGTACTCCATTATTGCTTTTCCTTATTAGTTGTCTAAGCATACATAGGGCAGGGTGCATTCCAGCAAAGCATTGCTTGCTGTAAGAAGATAGCATCTGTTGGAATGGTGCTGGGGAAGTGGGACAGAGCTTGACTGTTTGATGGATTGTTGAGAGAATGGACTCCCATACTATGTGAGTGGTACTGTGGGCCAAGGAGTTACAGATAGAAAACTCTGGTTTCAATGAGATCATAGTCTCATGAACTATACCATAGACTTGGGAATTTTTTTTTTTTTTTTTTTGCACCGGGGATCAAACTCAGGAGTTTGCACTTGTGAGTCAGGCGTGGCACCACTGAGCTAAATCCTTGGACCAATACTTGGGAATTTTAAAAGGTGGTCATTTTGACCATGTACTTCCCAATCTGTTATTACTATGCAATAGTGTAGCCAAACTGTCCTTTATCTTCTGAGTGTACTTTGCTTCCCTGTACTGCCCATGCTGTCTTTTGCCTATTGAAATCTTAGCTACCCTAAGGCCCAGCTAAAGTACTCAGCATGGATCGGCTAGTTGTCTCTTTAATTATTCCATTTATTTCATATTCTTTCTTCCACCTAGCTATTTGTCTATTTATTATTTTCCTATCATATTCCAAAGTTCTGAAGGGTTAAAGTCTTTTTATTTTACTATGAATCCATCATACCACTTGTTGTGCCTTGCATGTCTTTAGGCAAATTAGAGGTTTCTTAGAACTATGCAAATTATACAACAGCCAGTTGCATTCCCATTCTTCATTCTTATTTTTTTCCATTAGCCAGTACAGTTCATCTCCTCCTCCTTCTAATTTTGGAGACGATGAAGGTCAGCCAAATTCACCTTTCGTAGAGATGAGAAGAAAGTTTCACTAATTCATATGTTGTTGAAAAGGGAAGCAATCCAAGAGTGCTTTAGGCTAAACCTTACAGCACATGAGCTAAAGAGCTAAAATGATGTCAATCAAAAGTCATTACTGAGCACCATTCTGGGTCCGCAGACCTGAGAGTCTGCAGAGAGAGGCCTTACAGTGGAAAAACAAACACTCAAAAACATACAATTGAAGATCGTAATAAATTTTATTAAGGAGAAGAACAAAGCAATGTGTGGAAGGAGCTTCCAGACAGAAGGGATATCTTTGTGCAAAAGCCCCCAGGAAGTGCTCCTTGTGGAAAGGTAAGAATTTGATGTTTTGAGATATCTGAAAGAAAGCACCATTAATCTGTAATACAGAAATCAAAGGAGAGAAGTAGCAAGTCCCAGAAATTAGAAGGCCTTATCAACCAGATGAAGGCATCTGTTTTGTTATTGATGCATTATAAACCTATAAAGACTTACTCAGGGAAGCGACCTGGTCTCATGTGCAGTTTTTAATAGCTCATCCTAGCTGGACAGTGAATGGATTGCATTACAGAGGGCTTGGGAGGGAGTAGGAAGATATTTAGTAGTCTGATAAGTAGATAAGTGATAGCCACAGAGGGTATAAGGGCAGTAGAGATGAAGGGAAGGTAATATGTAGGAAATAGAAATTACAGGTGGCACCTAGTGTTGATTTAGGAAAGGGTAGAAGAAGTTGGAAATGCCCTCAAAGATAACGGTTGGGGTCTGGGGCTCAAGAAACCATGGATAGAACCCCTTCAAAAACTAAGGATAGGTCCTACTGGGGATGGAAAGATAAGGCTAAGATGGAAGTCATGGAGAGAGAGAGAGGGAGAGACAGACAGAGAGAGACACCTCTCAGTCACAAAAGGGTCTGGGATGAAATATGGAAGTATTTAGTACAGAGATTGAATATATATATATATATATATATATATATATATGCATATGGGTGTATGTACATGTAAAAGTATAAGTGTTTAACATTAGAATCATGGGATAACCTTATTCAGTGTTTATAAAATTTAACCTGAGACTTTTCAGAGAAGTTAACCAGGACATACAGAAGGTCATTGTCCAAGTAATGTTATTCCTGAGCATTAAAGCTGGAATTCTTATCCCAGCTGTTGAAGTGGCAGAGCCCTTTCTCTTAACCACTGTGTGGGCAGAGGAGAGAGAAGAAGCCCACACTAGGAGTCCTGGCAGCACAATAATGAAGGACACATTGCATTAGGCTGAAGGTAACTAGAAGGCAGTCTCTGGAGATAACATGTCTTAGCTTCACATGATAATTTGAGGGCTGCAGCCTGAGAGAGTGTGGGATGGGGAGAAGCCTATTTTATTTTATCTTTTTGTATTTTATTTATTTAAAATAAATGGAATGCGAGAACTTGCCTATATGCACTGGGAAAAGATCATGTAGCTGGGGGGAGATCTGTCTTTTGGAGGAGCTAATCTTACCAGTGAATTTTCAAAAATTTGAAAGGGATGAGATCCTGAGCACACACTGTCACCAACTTTAAGAGCAGACACTTTCTGTGCTGCGACAGTAAGGAAGAAGGAAGTGGTGGCTTATAGATTGTGTCCATGACTGGTTTTTATTTTTCAATGAGGAAGGGGAGGAAGGGCCATAGGAGGGGCTGGTAAGAGGGCAACAGAGGGGAAGTGTGAAGAGGGGTGAAAGTGAACTTGTGAATTTCGCCAGTCTATGGTTTGTATTTTCTCTGTGAGTATCATTAAATCTAAATAATTTTAATGTTTGATCCATGTCTGGCCCTCTGCCAGAGTTACCTCTCTCTACCTAAATAACCATAACTATTTTAACCTTACACACAGATGTACAGATTCGCAGACACACACACAGACACATGTACACCCACATGGAGACTGAAATGTTGTTTGAGATTATGTGTATTTCGATACTTCATTATATATTAGAAAAATAATATGTCCTTTAAAAATGTATGTATTTTTAAAAAGAGGATGGAGCTTGGTTGTGAGGTCAGAGCAGTTGAGGGTGGCTGCGCAAAGCTCCATCCGGCTTGCCCCTCCCACTTACAACCAGGAGACTGTAAGGCCCCCCGGCCCCTCTGGCATGCCCAGCAGCCGCTAGCTTAGCCACATGGGCTCCTGCAACAACAGGCCCCACCCTTGGGGTCTCCCTGCCCCCCCCCCGCCTCTGGCCTCTTGGCTGAGCAGCTACCTGGCTCCACACTACAGAAGCACAGGGGGACATAAAGGCCATTGTCCTGAGCTGCAGAAGTGAACAACAGAGAGAGGGCCTCTCTCCGGCTCCCTGATGAAAACTGAAGCCCACTGGAAAAGTGAAGAGACTCTCTGCAGTAAAGGCACACCCGACCACCGTGCTTGGTGAGTTGGAGGGATCAACACCTCGCATTTGAACCTGGACTATCTTTAGGGGAAAGGCAGCTGGAACCTGTAATAGAACCTTGCAGAGTTCAACCCTGTAGGAGGACAGGGAGCTCAATTTGGGATCTGCAGCCAGAAATCTGCCTGAATCTCACAGGTCTGTGACTGGCTTCCTGAGACTCATTGATTTATACCTGCACACTGCTGCCCATGTTGTCTATTGTGACAGCAGAGACATACCATGAAGGAGGCCCTTCATTTTTATCTTTTGTTTGTCATTTTCAAAATTACCACTATTTTTTTTGCTCTTATTTTTGATTTTTTTCTTCTTTTTCTACTCTTTAAAAACTTTTATTTTTCTCTTTTCATTCTCTCTCTCTCTCCCTCTCTCCCTTGCTGTCCCACATTGTTCTTCATCACCCTTTCTGGTCCTGTTCTGGCCCTAATTCATATTTCTTCTTTACTTTTCTTTTCTTTTTCTTTCTCTTGCCTGAGCCCTCTGGCCTCACTGCTAACCTTCCCCTATCCCTCTACCTACCTATTCTTCCCTCCCTAACTCTTTCTAACTCCCCATCCTGAAGGGTAAAGTTGCTATATTGAAGAGTTTATTCACTAAAAAAATATATTGGGTTGGTCCTTGATCTTGATTTAGTTCACACAGTTAAAGGTGATAGGTTGATAACCACCACAGATTATCATTTTCTAAAAGGTACTTGATGCTACTGTGTTGCTGATTGTATCACTTGGGCTAAGATGTTGTGATTTATATAATCAGTTGTCCTTCCTGGTATAATGAAAATGAGACAGCCTCAGAGCCATTAGAGACTCAGATTCAAAACTTAAAGACCAGCTATATCTGGAAGATACATCTGAGAAGCAATCATTCCATAAGGGTTCTAAATACATGAACAAAGATACTTAAGGAACTTCAAAAAATCAACCCAGGAACTAAACCAAGGACAGTACCAAAAACAAAAATGAGAAGACATTTAAGCAAGGCACAAACTCAGACTTCCAACTTACCAAAGGTAAATTGTGGGAGAAATG